GAGGCAGCCCTGTGACCGACGATGGGGACAGAGTGGGGCTGCCATCGCGCCCGGCCGTGAGTCGCGCGCCTCCGCCTCCGCCTCGGCCCACTCAGCCCCTCGAGAAGCGCCTGGCCGCTCGGGAACATGGCCCTGGAGCAGCTCTGCTCGGTCCTCAAAGGTAAGCGCCCGGGGCCGTGGACGGCGCCCCCTGCGGGCTGAGGCCGGCGTGCCACCGGCCCGCGTCTTCGGGTCCCTTCCCTGCGCCTGGCACCCCGACGCGCCTCTTTGTCTGGCGGCGCTCGCGGCGGCTTAGCGGATCGCGGAGCTCTCGCGTCCTGCCGGGAGCGGGTGCTTTCCCAGCGCGCCTCTCCTCCAACCCCTGCGTGTCTGGCGGCTCTGGTGGGGTACAATCGGGAAGCGGCTGCCGGGGAGGTGCCCCCCGATCTGTGCGCTCGCGCCTCTAACGGACATTGCTTTGCAAAGTTGTGGGTCCGTACCAATGGAGCTAAGGCCGGTCTTTCTCCGAACGTAATACGGAAAAGTAATTCCTCGCAAACAATAAAAGCCGGATCCGAGACGTCGCGGAGCGTTTTTCGAAAAGCCCAGCGGCGTCCGCACGGGGACAGAACGGGCCTCCGGACCGGCCGGGTCCCACCTGCTGCGGCCGAGGAGGCTGCGGCACCACTGCGGGCTCCGGGGGCGGCGCGTGTGCGCCGCGGACCCGACTTAGTTCGGCCCCGGGAGAGCGCGGCTGCTTGGGGCTGTGCCCCAGGCTCTTCCCTGGACGCGCTGCTCCCTAGAACGTCACTCCTCCAGCTCCTTTCTGCATATCCCCAAATACGCTCCGCTGGTGTTTGCTTCTTATTTGTTGTTCAGAGAATTAAAACAGTTGGCTTACCAAGTGCACAAAGCTCTAAAACATGCTCTAGAGGGTTTGCATTTCCCGGGAGGTATTATTTTAGAAAAAAATATATACATAATCTAGCTTGCGACACAAAGTTCATTCTGAAACTCTTAACTGAATAAATTCTTTTATCCATTCTCAGAGAAAACACCGTCACAACTCAGTGAAAGACTTCCTCCCCCTCACCACCACCTATTTAATTGGGAATTGAATATATGAATTCTTGCAATTGTTAGGGGGGAAAAAACCGTTTATATTGAGGGGAAAGTTAAAGGCATGTCTAGTTCTTTACTACCTTAATATTCTACAATGACAAATTTGTTTTTTCTTACTCCATATTAACACTTTTTTCCAAATTTGTTTTATTAGAAAGTTTGCTATGATCCTGCTTCCAATTTGAATTGGATGTACTATGTTTTGGACAAATTTACTTTTTTTTAATTTGCAAATTTACGTTTTAATTGGACAAGAAGTCCTAAATTCTTGAGATTTATTTGATTTAAAATATTGAACTACCCAAGTATATATTTATATATTCAGCTTGTACTAAGGGAACCTAGGACTTTTCTAATTGGTGACTATTTATTTCACAGTCCATAAATTCTTAATGATTCCTTTATTATGTTATAATAAAAAATAACTGAAATTTTGTAGTTATCTGTAAACTCTTGATTATTATAGAGTCATTCCTTGGAAGTTAAGATTTGGTTTTTAAAATAAACCACATGTATAGTAGGATATCTGGTAGTGTTACTTAGCTGAATTTTCTTCCAGTCGCACTGACTGTGCACACACCTTCTTATGGTTATCAGGGCACGTCTGAGAGTATCATCTCTCCCCCGACTCACACCCAGAAGAAATCACACGGTTTTGTTTACCCAGCTTTACCTGCAGAACTTGGAAAACTGAGCTGCCTTGAGCAGAGTCTCATTACCTTAGCTGCTGCTCCTATGTGAAGGGATTTGCAGCTAGTCTGCCTTTCCCTTTAGAGTTGGTACACACTGCCCTCTCTGGCTGCCGCGAAGCATTTAGTTGTTGCACCTTTCAGGGAAGGATTCTATGGTGATGGCAACGCTACAGTGAAAACAATGTAGTATCTGGCTTTTCTTTTTTTAATGTTACTCAACCTACACTATTTTTATATGCTAGAATGTTTTTAAAGCTCAAGCTAAATTTTTGTTTTAAGCTTACTAGAAAGAAGACAAACTGTTTTTAGGTCTTCTGTGGTATATGCATGTAAATGCTAGAAATTGGTTTAGAAAGATTTTTAAAAATTAACAAAAATTGATCCTGAGAGGGGAATCTGGGGGACTGAAAGACGAGTGAGGGAGGACTTGCATTTTACTGCAAAACCATTTGTGTGACTTGATTTTTATAACCCAATATCTGTATTATCTATATATTAATTAGTATTTTAATTTAAAAATTGACTTTTAAAAACAAATTAGTCTGAAGTAACTATTAAACATTTGCATATTGGTAGATGCTATCTAAGAAAAGTCTTGTTGGAATATTACAGTCAGTTTCTACTAAAACAAACATAATGAGCGTACGAGTTTTTAAGTAGAATTTTAGTTTTTTAAGACTCCATTTATTCTTTTTGTTTTACTTTTAGCAGTGAGTACAAAAGGATAACTTTACTAGGTTTGTTTTAACCCTTCCATGTACAGTATTATTGAAAATAAATAATATACTTTTAGCTGTTCATTACCACTGTGGGTCTTAAAAAATTTGAGTTAACATTCTGTCTTTAGTTTTATGAAAACCTTAAATGGGGATTATAAACCCATTTTTTTATTGTTGTTCTTATTCATGTTGCACACTTGCTGCAGAAGAATTCTGTTAGACTCAGTGATATTTAAAGTATATAAACTGTGGATAAATCTATAGTGTAACAAAACATAAATATCCCTTGGTAACACCTTTTAAAACTCTTGCCTAAGTCTACATGAACTCCTATTCTTCAGTCTTGGGCCTCATCAAAGAACATGAACTAACTATGAAAAAATAATTATACTGAAAAACTAATCCTTGAATAGTAAACTTTTTTTTAATAACTTTTTAAAAAATAACTTCTTGGCTTTTCTCCCAAGGGATTGGAAAAACTGTTTTTTAACATTGTCAATTGAAAGGTCTTATTAAGCAGTGGTTTTATTATAATAAATCTTCCAACTAGAAGATAGTTTACATTTTGAGACCAAATTCTCCTTTTAGGAAAATATGTTTATGTTACAAAGAAAGCTCAAATCAAAAATACTTCCGGTCCTTTTTTGGAATAAGAAAGAAAAATAATAGACTACAAATGATGAAGTCCATATCTACAATTTTAAAACAACAATCTAAGTTCTACTTTTGGTACTACCCATTCAGCACAGTCTCCTACATTTTTCTGTTTATGCTTCTGCATAATAATTATTGATGTTAAAAAAAAATCTATGTCCCTGCATCACTTTGAGTTCCCTATTATTATGTTCTTTCAGTTGGAAAAGAGGATCCTGAGAGGTAATCTACTTTAGGGGTTTCCAAACTTCCCTTAATAACAGAACTCCTTCAAAGTCACTTTTATAAGAAAGTACTTCAAAACAAGAACAGGTAAGAGCAAGGTTGCTATGATTGGTGGGAGGCCTTGCTCTCTTCTATCACCTCTAACCTCTGGGTGACTTTTCAACATATTTGTTGTATTGTACACAAAATTACAGAGTGTAGTATGCTAATCTGAAAGTTCAGTTGTTTTCTAATCAATGACATTAAAATGTATTCATTTAAGTTTGCATAGAGTAACATATTGGAAACTACAACACAAAGAAGATATCAAGTCCTCTTTCAGACATGACCTGATCATGATAAAACTTGATGACAGTGCTGTGGATGTTGAAAGGGACTCCTTTAATCAAAGTAGAGCATTCAAAACTGCCATCTCAAGAGCATTTTTACTAACAAAAAGTTTGTCAAATTCTGTAGAAAATATAAAAAAGCACTTCTGCTACAGCTACTCCTAGAAAAGTGATTGGCAAGGTGATTAGCATATGTAGGCGGGAGTAATCTTAAGGCTCACTATCCATCTTTTTTCTTAACAAAGTAAAATTGAGTCTGATTATATTGGGGTGCTTTTTTGTTCTTTGTAGTTTATCAAAAACAAATTACTGCTGTGTCAAGTAGTATGTGAACTCTAATTGCACTCCATTTCTGCTTTCATTATAGAAAATACTAATGAGCAGGGAGACCAGTTATGTGGTTGTTGCAGTCTGGCATCTTGTGTTAGATTTAATAAACCTATGTTTACCACTTAAATGCTTACAACAGGAAGGCTTAGAGGCGTGTTTAATTACTAACAAAGGTAAATGGAGCCAGCCTGAGAAAAATAAGAAAGGGAGAAAAATCTCAATTCTTTTCTCATCCCCCCTGATTTATGCTCACACAAAAACACTGAGTCATATATGTGGCTACTGTTAAACTGATATGTGTGTTCATCACTTGGCACAGGGCTCTCTACGTACTATGTGTAATCAGGATCGTTCTTAGTTGCTTCATATATTCATCTAATTTATACAGTGTGCTGTGTGGATCATGCAGTCTTCTAGGCACTAGAGACGCATCAGTGAATTGAGATAGACAAGACCTCTCTTTCTAATAAGAAAAGATGACAATAACAAATCCCTAAAACACCAAGTGGTATTAGTAATAATGAAAATAAAGCAAGATGGAAAAAATGTAGAGCTTATTTAGAAATCGGGGAAGCCTCACAAGAACTGAATGAAACGAAGCAGTCAGTCATGCAGAGAGACTGATTCTAGACTGAAGGCATATTTTAGTCCGTAAGGCAGGAGTTAACTTGGTGTATTGAAGTAATGGGCAGGCCTGTATAGCCATAGATAGAACTAGGGAGATCAGAGAGGTAGTTGGGTACCAGATCACATAGGACCTCACAAGCCAGAGTTAGGAGAAGGGATTTATTCTAAATTTAATGGGGATGTTTTGCAAGATTTTATGAAAGGCTATGAGGTGATCTGATTTATATTTTAAAAAGGTAACTGGTTGCTCTGTACACAGTAGGCTTAGAGAACTGTGGCAGAAACTTCTGGTTGTCTCCAAATATCCACTTTACCCTTCATTGATTTTCTGAATTTTAGGTAAGTAGACAGTTATCAAAATAAAGACTATTTCCCAGCTTACCTTAGGGTTGGGCCACGTGACTACGTGTAGCTAGTTAGATGTTAGGTAGAGAATAGTGCATGCAACTTACAGGAAGTGTTATTTTGTTATTTAAACTCTAT